TAGGACTAGTGTTTAAAGGCCGGCAGGTAGGGTGTAGGACTGTCTGTAGGACTAGTGTTTAAAGGCCGGCAGGTAGGGTGTAGGACTGTCTGTAGGACTAGTGTTTAAAGGCCGGCAGGTAGGGTGTAGGACTGTCTGTAGGACTAGTGTTTAAAGGCCGGCAGGTAGGGTGTGGGACTGTCTGTAGGACTAGTGTTTAAAGGCCGGCAGGTAGGGTGTAGGACTGTCTGTAGGACTAGTGTTTAAAGGCCGGCAGGTAGGGTGTAGGACTGTCTGTATGACTAGTGTTTAAAGGCCGGCAGGTAGGGTGTGGGACTGTATGTAGGACTAGTGTTTAAAGGCCAGCAGGTAGGGTGTAGGACTGTCTGTAGGACTAGTGTTTAAAGGCCGGCAGGTAGGACTATCTGCAGGCCTATTTTTTAAAAGGCTGGCAGGTAGGCCGTAGTACAGCATGTAGGCCAATGTTTAAAGGCCGGCAGGTAGGGCGTAGGACTACTTGTAGGCATATTGTTTAAACGCCTACAGGTAGGGCGTAGGACTGCCTGTAGGCCTATTGTTTAAACGCCTGCAGGTAGGGTGTAGGACTGCCTGTAGTCCTATCGTTTAAAAGCTGGCAGGTAGGGTGTAGAGTTGTCTGTTGACTGTAGGACCATTGATTAAAGGTCATAATGTAATATAGAAAATGAGATACTTGATTCACTGGTTATTTTCTCACAATATGCTAAATCGGTGTAGAAAACTGCACCCAGTTAAGTGCTAAAAATATAATGTTATGTTAGTTATATAAAAGTATGTTAAATAACTGTATTTCCTTTCATGATTCATCGTCCACTTCAGTTTACATACATTAAGACAATATATCACATATTATGTATATTAGTCTACGACTTTATCAATAATTAACTTATTTTTAAACAGTCATAGCAATCAGGCGATAGTTGATTAAAAAATAAAATTTTCATTCATGCATATTGCCATGAGCAATTTGTGCGAAATGACAATGACCTTGTTATCAAATACTAATCATTATGGTTTGTATGCAAAATGGTGTTAAGTTATATAACTGAAGATAACGGATTTATTTTAGAAGCTTTAAGCCACCTACCCTTTTAGGTTAGGTTTTATACTGCTGGGACTGTGAGTTAAAACGTTCAACATATTTTTTTAAAAAGGGGGTGTGGTGGGGAGGGGACGGGGCTTAATTTAAGAAACTGTTGTAAACAAATTAGCCCGCAGAAACCAATACTGAAATATTTTTATTAAAATCTCAAAACATTTTTTTAAGAAAGATTGCACATTGCCATCATACACTTGAAAAGAGCAAAATAAATTTGAGCACTTGTAATAATTGTCAATAAAAAATATTTTAACGACAGTCTTTAGCATTTAAAAAAATGTGATACACCAAACAAAAAGAAAAACAAAAAGTGAAAGGCCGGCAGGTAGGGTGTAGGACGGTCTGTAGGGTGTAGGACGGCAGGTAGGGTGTAGGACGGTCTGTAGGGTGTAGGACGGTCTGTAGGGTGTAGGACGGTCTGTAGGGTGTAGGACGGTCTGTAGGGTGTTGGACGGCAGGTAGGGTGTAGGACGGTCTGTAGGGTGTAGGACGGGAGGTAGGGTGTAGGACGGTCTGTAGGGTGTAGGACGGTCTGTAGGGTGTTGGACGGCAGGTAGGGTGTAGGACGGTCTGTAGGGTGTAGGACGGTCTGTAGGGTGTAGGACGGCAGGTAGGGTGTAGGACGGTCTGTAGGGTGTAGGACGGCAGGTAGGGTGTAGGACGGTCTGTAGGGTGTAGGATGGCAGGTAGGGTGTAGGACGGCAGGTAGGGTGTAGGACGGTCTGTAGGGTGTAGGACGGCAGGTAGGGTGTAGGACGGTCTGTAGGGCTATTTGCTTATAAATCTGCCAGAGGCACGGAGGATGATATCTTACTATTGTTGGAGGGAATTTACCGTCACCTAGATACAGTGGCGTAGCGAGGGTCTTTGCCGCCCGAGGACAAGATTCGCGCCTGGGGACAAGATCCATTTTAAAGCGCCCCCTTTTCTTTTTTTCAACTCTCAAACCTATTATTTTCACCAATAATATAATATCATATCACATTTTGGCGCCCCTAACTAGCTTGCTCCCGGGGGCATCTGTCCCCCCCCCAATCGCTACGCCTCTGCCTAGAGAGCCATAAAAATACGCTAGCGTGCTTTTCTTAGACTTCGCATTCCTAACACCTTATGATCAAAAAGCTTTCCTCGTTAGGTGTCCATTTAAATACTCAAGCTTGGATACTGAACATTTTTTAACAAATCGCCCACCAATATGTCAAGGTAAAGGACCAACTATCGTTAACCAGAGAAGTCAGCACCGGGGCGCCACAAGGATGTCTTGTGTTTAAACTGTTTTCTTTGGAAAATGTCCACTTTATTAAAATATGTCATGTATTTATCTATGTGCTGAAAATGTATACGTACAATATAATAAAACTCCATTTCCCTTTGTTTTGATCACTAAAAGAATCTTATCGTATCTTAATGAACCTCAAAGGTGCAGACCAAACTCCATTTCCCTTTGTTTTGATCACTAAAAGAATCGTATCGTATCTTAATGAACCTCAAAGGTGCAGACCAAACATACAGATAGGAATTAAATCGGTTAATTAAAGAAATTCGTTTACAACTTGTGAACCTCCCTTCATGTGAATTTTTAGTGTGCTCATTACAGGTGTACACTTCTGAATGGGTACAAATTCAATAATATATAATACAAGGCGTAAAGTACACAATTTTTTGCCTGTTAACGGGCAAGAGGGACCCGGGTTCTTAATGGGTCTTTAAATATATAGTTAGTATAAGTTAGTGAATGGAAATGATTTTTTTTTTTTACATACCTGATGGGCTCTGCGTAACTAAATCCTTGTGGGAAGATGAAGCACGCAGCCTTGGTCTGAATAGAAATGAAAGTGTGTACAATCCACATTGTAAACACTACAACTACCGGTAACGTTAATGGCATATTTTACAAGTCAAAGACCAAATAAGTTTACCTAAAATCTCTAGATCTAGTTCCCAATGAAATATTTGCTGACCGGATGGTAACAAAAAAAAAAGCATTCATTTATTAACTTAGATAAATGAAATAGAAACTAAAAATATAGAACAGCATTTGAAACCCTCAAGTGTAGTATTCTAAAATCTCACTTGGAAACTGGTGTATTTCCAAACATTACAGTGCCGAGAGAGAAGGGTTGTGTAACGGCCAGGATTAACTGATCATCTTTGGCCAGGATCCACGGGCAGGTGGTGACACTCTAAAAATTACAGTCGTGTGGTGTGACTGGACATACAGAACGTTTAATCTTATAGAAAAAAAATCATTAGCAAACTTTAATTTTTAAAAAAATAAGAATTTAAACAAAAATTAAGGTAAATGAAAGATTGACATATAGTTAACATATTAATTGTACACACGTGTGTAAGTTCAATGTACAATATTAATTCTTCAGATTGTGTACATGATTAGAAATGTGTACCAAAAGCCATAGAGTAAGTTCAAAGTATAAGATTAACAC